GTTGGTCGGGAAGGGGCTGCAACGCGGGGGAGGGCTCGGACTGCAGCGGCGACGGTGGTCGAGGCTTGGGTTCGACGGCGCGGATCTGGTCGTTGGGTTCGAGCTGGTGGTGAAGGGGCGGCTGTGGGTGGAAGGAGAAGATGGTGATGACGGTTCTGGACTAGGGAGGCGATGGTGGTGATGGAAGAGGTGATGGCGGGTGGTGGTGGAACTGGAGCGGCTGAGGACTGGAAGTGTAGGATGAAGATCTACCTTCAATCGATAGGATTCGATCTCTGGAACATAGTGGAGTCTGATTACAACAAGCCTACTACTCCATACTCTGAATGGACGTTGGTGGAAAGGACAAATGCGAATCTTGACGCCAAGGCAATGAATGCATTGTTTTGCGCAATGGATAAGAATGAATTCAACCGTGTGTCTACTTCCAACACCACAAATCAAATCTGGCACACACTTGAGGTAACCCACGAAGGAACTTCTAAGGTTAAAGACTCTAAAATTTCTGTTTTAGTGCACAGGTTTGAAATGTTCAAGATGAACGACAACGAGACAATTGGTGAAATGTTCACAAGGTTCACCGACATCATCAACTCCCTAATTGCGTTAGGAAAGGACTATACACAAGTGGAGATGGTTAGGAAAATCCTCCGGGCTCTTACTTCGGATTGGGAAAAGAAGACTACCGCAATAGAGGAAGCCAACGACCTATCCACATTGACAGTAGAAAATTTGATAGGGAATTTGATGGCATACGAGGTGCAACTTATTGGAGAGAGAGTGAGCTGGTGATAAGGGGGAGAGAGAAATGTGAGGAGAGAGGTGTGAACGTGAGAGAAAATCAAGTGAGTAAAAGTGGAATGAGTTAAGTGATTATGGAATTGATTAGGGAGGAGTTATGGAAAGAATTCAAATGAGAGTAAATTAGGGAGAGAAAAGATTACAAAATATTTATTTATTTATTTATTCATAATATTTAAAAAAATCATTATACTAATAATTAACCATATAATAATATTAATAAATAAATAACAGCTAAATATTTATATATTTACATATGTACTAACAAGGTCACTTATAATATTAGTTACAAAATGATTATATATAAAATCATCAACCCATATATTAATATTTAGCAGAATTAATAAATATAAGACTATATATATTTTATTATTTATTTATTTTGAAAACTCAGAAAATTCCAGAAATTAGGAAAAATATTAATAAAATAAAATTTAACATTTTAAATACTAGAAAAATTATTTAAATACGTATCGAAAATTACGGTTGTTACAGTTTGTCTAGTGTTTGTACATTCCTATGTATTGTAGACAAACAACGTAGTTGGAGGATTGATGGAATAAAGCTTCAACGATCATATCCAAAGGAGGTTGGCGGAATGTCGGTGAAGCTTATGCAATTCAATTTAAAGATTGAGTTCAAGCTTCATCCGCAAATATATCAAGTCAAGCCTATTGAAGATCAAGATCAAGCTTTGGTATATTTAGTATAGGTTTATATTATGTGTGTTTAATACGTTAAGCTCAATATCTATACACACACCTTTTATTGGTTTCTTCGTATATATATATATATAGTTATATATATATACATAAG